AACTGAATTGTCGTTTACAGAGCTTGTCCAGATAAATGAGAAGGGTGACAGCCTTTTCACTAGGATACTTTGAAGAATGAGATCAAGCTGGTGCCGTAGACGAAAAGTGACATTGTGAAAAATAAAAAGCAAGCCGGAATAATGATTTTCATAGCTAAAGATTTGTTTTATCATCTTTTTCCAAACCTTTTTTCTTTGCTATGAGTTCACTTGTTAATATTTATTTTATATGTACTTGATCATAGGACGTACATGAACATCATCATCATCATCATCATTATGATTGTTATTTTATCATTTCGCTTTGTTTTTTTTTTTATTTTTGACATTTTGCAACTTGTGTTTTATTTAACATTGACCTATACCTCCGTGACAATTACTGATACATTGACATTTTACATAGTTAAAACTAATTAGAGTAGAAATTTGCTTTCAAACGCCATTTTCGGAGGAATGCACATAACACGATTAACAACTCAATTATTGTGACCGAATAAATTCGTTGAAAAAGTTTCTTTTCCGTATTTAACAACAGCTCCAAAGTTTTCACTGATATAAATGAAAATTCTGAGTCGATGAAAAATAATAATTGGATGTTGGGAGAGCCGACGGTTGTCAGTCTTGTCGCATGTTTTCTTCAATGACTTCGTCGTGACGTCATCCATCCATCCGTGCGTGTCATCTCTTCTGAGGTTGACGTGATATGACCTTCCATCTTGTTCTTTTCTTTGCTTCATTCGTGCATTCTTCCATTGATTTACTTGTCCATCTTTTGATGTCATCCATCCGTGGTAGTTGTTGTCTCCCTCTCCTACGTGTTCCTTCGAGCTTTCCCTCTAGGACATGCTTGCAGATGGCTTCATGCCGAGCTACGTGACCTAAGTATTGCTTTTTCCTGCATTGTATGTCTTGATTGTACGGGACTTTAAAAAAGGCGCGAGAATCTGCGTGAAATGAACTCTATGCGTCCGAAACTCCGTCGTGGAAAGCAACAAAAAATAATATTTACCCTCAAAACAGGCCCGTAGCCAGGGGGTTCGCGGGTTCGAAAGAACCGCCCTTTTTGTCAGCAAAAGGTCCATTCTGGGTAAAATTTAGTCCAGGTAAACAAAGGTTTCATTGTAAAAGACCCACTTTTTCGTAAAAAGAACTCCCTCCCCTTTTGAAATAGCTGGCTACGGGCCTGTCAAAACATGGTGAATGCATAAATGTTGAGCAATAGGCTTTAATTTTAAGCTCAAGAGCAGAGGGCAAGAAAAATACCCGTTGATAATTACTGCCAGCTTTTTTTCTTTAATAATTTTTTTCATTGTTGCACTGCACTTGCTAGTCTGCCAATATTTCTGACACCATTTTCCTCCAAATCTCGCGAAATCTCGCTTGATTTTAAGCTAAGGTGCGATACTTCTCGCTATCTCAGATGATTCTTCCTGGTCATCTAATAGGGATATTTTGTTCTTTTTTTAACCAAAGTATCTGTTCAATATCAATATAAACAAGAACATGAGATGATGACAATAAGTGTTCAGTTGCCTTAACAAACCGATTTAGATTTTCTAAACGATTTCTTTCAAATTTTCTATCTTTGCGGTGACTAACCTTAATCTTGAAGTGCACTCACAGCATTTAATTGCTTTCTCTTGTAGCCAAAGTGTTCCCGCAGCTAAAGAAAACGGCCACGCCCCTTCTGGCAGTGAAGCGACACGCCGTTCACAAAGACCACGTGATATCCACCGAGGACCTAGGCAGCCTGCGTCGCTATGGGTTGGTTGAGGAATGCTGCATAAAGTCCAACTGTAACTTGTCGATCCTGGAACAGTTCTGCGATGCTTAAGAGGTTCCTGTTTAAGGGTTCCTGCCGATCTCATAATCCAAAAACCGCTTCAACATCCGTTTAAGAAAATAAACATGCATTTCCAACTTCTTTTTTATCTTAAATTGAAGCTGACAAAAAGTGCGGTGGTAAAAGTTCCTTTTCTATTAGACCTTAATGTTTTTCAGCTATCAAAAATATCTGAAGGTGCCGTTCAGCTCATGGTATTAAGGTTAATTTTAGTATATTCTGACTTTATACCGTTTTTTTTTTTTTTTTTTTTTTTTTTTTACAATTATATGTTATTTTCCATTCAAATTCAAATTTCAAGTATTTGTTAAATTCTTTATCAGTTTTTTTTAAAATCGAATTATTGTTCGGGTTGTGTCTCTTTATGGTTTTCTTGTGAGAAAACAAACAATTAAAAGTATATTTGTATATTCAAGAAATACTAGAATATGGGGATTTGATAAAAAGGTAACTCGCCATGTGCACTACTATTTTCTGACCTCCTACATTGGAAAATGAACAGATTATCACATAAGATTTGATAAGCTCTAATGGTAAACTCCAATTAACAACTTTGTCATGAACAGGTGTTTTCATGTTAAGCTGCTACTGGTACATCCCATACGCTACCTAATCTAGCACTGCTAAACGAGATTTGATTTATAATTCGATAACTACCACTGACAGCGGGAATATTGGCACTATATACTTTGTAAAATTATAAAATTTCGAAATCAATCACATGATCTTTAAATGAGCTGAAAATGCTCAATGTTTGGTAAACGAACGGAATAAAATAAGTTACCCTGGAAATGCATTTTGCTACATTGTTGCGTTTTAAATTTGGGTCTATTGAAGAGATGAACCTGAAATTTGCATTTAAGGGATGTGTATGAGAATTATGATTGAAAAATCATTTTTGATACCGCACCAAGAAATATTGAATGCATACAATGCATATTTGTACAGCAAAGCATCAATTTTCGAAATTTCAACATTTTTCGTTAATCACCAAGGCACACCTGGAGGTCAAGGGGGGCATAATTTACTATATGTGATAATGGGCGAATGTTGGGTTTCCATGTATCCGAGTTTTATGAAAACACACTTTTACGAAGTCAGTATCCCTCTGTCGTTACTATTTACAGGGACGAATTCATCTAGCAGTGGTTGTGTTTGAAATACGAAGCTGGCTAAGCTTTGAAACTGTTGGAAATAAAACAGGCTAGTCAACTAATTGTTTGTTTTCTTAATCTATTTTATTAATACTAATTAATTTCAATTAATTTTGTTAATAAAATTTCTTACTTTGAATAGCGTCAAACCCTTAGCATTTTTTTTAGTAATTTTATTTTATTAATATTCATTCAATAATCTACGTGTTTATTGATGCAAGATACGTAAGATACATTTACATTTGCAAAAGCTTCAAAACGTTTCCAGATATGGGCCTCAAATAGAAAACAAGAGCGTGGAAACTACGGCCAGCTTTCAAGTCTATGGGTATAATATTGCCTTCGTCAAAGCACCAGGCCCCGTAATTAACCTGTAGTAATAGGCATTACGGAAACAAACTGCCGTTCTTCAATAATGAGACCAACCTGTAATATACACCTAAAAGAAAGAAAGCCTGCTTTTATCAATCTTTATTACATGTTTGAATGGTCGTACTTAGCTGACTGCACGCCCTAACATCTCGTTTCTGAGAAAAAAATGTCAAATAAAATACTCCAGATTGTCGTCCAACATCCGGATCACAACATAAAACACTAGGATGGGAACATTGTATCCAAAAAAAAAATAATAATAATAATAATAATAATAAAAAGAAAAAAAGAAGAAAATAAATAAATAGATAAATAAATAAAATAATAATAATAATAACGAAAGAATGAACGAATAAAAAACAAATCATAATACATACATCAAGCATATATATGCATGAATAATAAATAAATAAATAAATAAATAAATAAATAAATCTTTAGATCCCCTGAACTGATCCGATTTTACATTTCACCCAGATTTCACATTTCAGCCCGCAACTGTGTGAACTCTCTTTCACACATTTCAATAACTTTTTTTTTTTAATTGCTTACATTTCAAGATTGTCAACAGCCTGGTTTTAAGCCAACTCAGATCAAATCCACTACATTCTCCTTAGTATGAAAACGTTGGCACCTAGCTGCAACACTGCCAAATTATCGCCCAATCCAATGCCTAAACAACCACCAGAATATCGGGTACATATGTATCATTCGTTCAAAAACACTCGGGTTTAATGGTGAGTCCTTCATAAGTATTTGTTCATGTTCTGGGATCGACTATAATTATTTGTCGAAATTCGACTCCATGCAGGGGCGGATCCAGCATTATTTGAAAGGGGGTACTTTTTTTAGGAACGACTGGCAGCGGATGCAAGCCCAAGCACTCAATGTTACAACCGTAGACTGAAGTACATGCATAAATAATTTATTCATTATTGCTTTGCTAATCGAAAAAACTTTGTGAGCTCGTAGGTACCGAAATGAAAACATCTGTGAAGATAAAAAGTCTCTTAGAGGCTCGTTTAGGAAGATTACGACCATTTTGGAATTGCGTTCATGGTAATGGGCTCTTGATTAAATGTCAAGTGCCTCTTCCTCCACCTTACCATAGAGAAATGAGGCCATTGGTACACACTGAACAATAGTCCAGTATACATATACATACTGTCTTATATAAGTCACCACAACCCTGTACAATCACATGAATCACTCTTTGGCTGCATTCATGTGAAAAATCTATTTTTTAAAAATCTATTGCGGTATCTTGTGATCACGGTCTGTGCCCTGAATACCCCACGGCGTAATTACGGGCAGCGCAAGCCAGTTACTTCCAAAGCTGTAATTAATTCTCGGCGATTAATTCAAATAATAGTTACCACAAACAACAGTTTAAACTCAGGACTTTCAGGTATGACTGCTTACAATGATGCCAATATATAAATGTCTCATAAAATCATTTGGTCAGGTAAAGATGATATTGCACATATTAAGTATACCCAGTCTAGTACAAGTGCTATGCCTAGGAGTGCAGGTGGACATGGCAGTAGTAATAACTTTGAACTAGAGCTGATGTTAGGAGAAACTGCTATGTAACTTTGAGTATGTACTGTGTCTGTACATTGATGATGGAGTTTTTTTTTTTTTTTTTGCTGATATTTATTTGGTATAACAATTTGAAGTCAATTAACCCCCTTAAGAACGTGGAATGGCTTCACTTGATGAGCTGCCATTTGTACAATTATGTGTCACATCCTCATCATTCTGGTCTCCTCTTGATAATGTGCTGCCACCTTCAGTTGCAATTTGTTGGGTTATTTCAGATGTATGGAGTTTCTGCAGCAAATGAGCTGTATCTTCTACATTCTCCACAGGAGCCGAATTGTTTTCACTGGCTCTTGAACTTAAGCACTCATGGCCATTCCCTGTATCTGTCCTGCACACATCCTTGGGCTCAGCTTCTGTTGAACCTATGGTGGCGCCATCTATATCTGACGTATTAGTCTCACTGGCTTCTCTTGGCAGTATAGTGTCATCTATGTCTCTCTGCAATGGATTCCCAGTTTCTTCTCCACCACTGGCAGATGTGTTGCTGGACGTTGGAGAAGAATGCTGAGTGATGGAATGGCTATCACTGCTGTCTGACGAGGTAGAACTTTCTTCTGTTTCTTTCACCTAATTATAGGAAAAATGTGTGCATGATGGGCCATCAGAGACAATTATAAGAAGCTAGTTCACATATTCCAATTTGAAATTGCACGTATCTCAAAATCATTAATGCATTTTGTGTTGAAAAGATCAGTATATTTTTTTAACCTGTCAATATGCTCTCAATTTCTGTTCAGAAGATGTATTAAATTTAAATAATATTAATGGTGTTAAGCACTACATACATAGAACCCACAAAACAACACTGTGGTTCATTGCACCTATTACATATTACTGAAGGTTGACCTTATTGGGGTCATATCATTCCCCCCACCCCCACACCAAAAAAAAAAAAAAATCTGTACGATCCTTTCCATGGGCGGACATACATAATTATACCAGCATATAAACCTGTAAATGACAAAATGGACGGAAGTTTACTGTACTGGGTATAGTATGTCATGTACTAATATATAATATATAAAAACTTGACATACTGAAAGAGACTTGCTGCTACTTTGAACCAATCCAACAGAAAGTTTGCCAATCTTCTGTGGCCTGGTCTTCACTCCAATGATCTTCAGAATAGTTTCCATTTTCTTATGATAGTCCATGTGGTTTTTAACCTAATGGAAAAAAAAGTTGACTAATTAAAACATGAAGAGTCACAGTGATATTGTATGCTATGCATATTTTCATAGCAAACGATATACCTTCACTAGAACAATTTTTTTAAATCCTGATTAAAAGATGTTAGATTATCTATACATATATGAATTACATACAAGTTTATGACGCCATGCATTGGACAGTGTGAACATTTCAGCCATTTGTGTGCTACTGGAAACATAATTTGGGTGAAACTTAACCCTAATATATACATGTAATGTAAATATTTAGATTTGATATTAAACATAATCAAAAATAGCAGTAGGCATAATATGATTATTACATATTAGTACTAGTACACATGCATAAACTGATAAATGTGTCCTGTCTTAAAATATAAAAATTTGAGGTGCAAGCAAAAAAAAAAAAATTACATAATTGCTGATTCAACACCATCACCACGATCATTTGTATTACCCTTATCAAACTATCAGGCCTGCGAGTTTGCAGCAAATTTACTGCAAGATTGCTGCAAACTGCATTTCCTTCTTGCAAATTTGCTGCAAATTTGCTGCAAATTAGCAGCAATAAATATTTTCTCGCAAACTCCTGCTAACTGCTTTAAGCAAACCTTTCCATTTGCTAAGAGCAGACATCAGGTTAAGGCCCCTTACCACATCTGTGAGGTCAAAGTTCATCAACCTTCTATTGTGCCACTTCACTGGTGCCAGACCTGCTATACTGAACTGAACAGAGGCTGTTCTGTAGAGAAACTTCAACACCCAGTCAGATCTGTGAAAATGGTCAAAAATAATAACAATAATTATTATTATTATGAACAGTCACTTTTACCTGTTTTAAAAAGTATTATTTAATAATAACAACAACAACAATAATAATAAACAGTCAAACAAACCTGTTTTAAAAAAGTGATAATATAAAAAGAGTAAGAAAAAAAACAAGTTACTATGATTCTGCATTTAAAGCAATCACACAATTTTAGTGCATCCTCTTATTATACCACCCTCCCTCCAATTTGGATTACAAATACATTTTAAGAAAACAGATATGGATCACTCTAATTATGCCCTCTCACCTGGAGTAGACATTAATAATTTTCCCTGCCACAACTCTGGAGAGAGGCTCCCAGTGTTTGGGATGCCCAGACACAGGTGCTCCCAAAAGTATTACATCTTCTATAATACCTTCACATCCTGAAATATCAATAAAAAAAGNATAAAAATGGATTCATTAACCATTGGTAAGTATGGGAAAATTGTTGTTTACTCCAGGAAAAATTCATTTTTTGGCCAAAACGAAGAGTTATTATCCCTTTAACACATGAAGAGTCACAGTGATATTGTATGCTACTGTATGCATATTTTCATAGCAAACGAAATACCTTCACTAAAACAGTTTTTTTTAATCCTGATTAAAAGATGTTAAATTATCTAATACATATATGAATTACATTCAAGTTTATGACGCCATGCATTGGACAGTGTGAACATTTCAGTCATTTGTGTGCTACTGGAAACATAATTTGGGTGAAACATAACCCTAATATATACATGTAATGTAAATATTTAGATTTGATATTAAACATAATCAAAAATAGCAGTAGGCATAATATGATTATTACATATTAGTACTAGTACACATGCATATACTGATAAATGTGTCCTGTCTTAAAATATAAAAATTTGAGGTACAAGCAAAAAAATAATAAAAATTACATAATTGCTGATTCAACACCATCACCACGATCATTTGTATTACCCTTATCAAACTATCAGGCCTGCGAGTTTGCAGCAAATTTACTGCAAGATTGCTGCAAATTGCAATTCCTTCTTGCAAATTTGATGCAAATTAGCAGCAATAAATTTTTTCTCGCAAACTCCTGCAAACTGCTTTATGCAAACCTTTTATTTTGCTAAGAGCAGACATCAGGTTAAGGCCCCTTACCACATCTGTGAGGTCAAAGTTCATCAATCTTCTATTGTGCCACTTCACTGGTGCCAGACCTGCTATACTGAACTGAACAGAGGCTGTTCTGTAGAGAAACTTCAACACCCAGTCAGATCTGTGAAAATGGTCAAAAATAATAACAATAATTATTATTATTATGAACAGTCACTTTTACCTGTTTTAAAAAGTATTATTTAATAATAACAACAACAACAATAATAATAAACTGTCAAACAAACCTGTTTTAAAAAAGTGATAATATAAAAAGAGTAAGAAAAAAAAAACAAGTTACTATGATTCTGCATTTAAAGCAATCACACAATTTTTGTGCATCCTCTTATAATACCACCCTCCCTCCAATTTGGATTACAAATACATTTTAAGAAAACAGATATGGATCACTCTAATTATGCCCTCTCACCTGGAGTAGACATTAATAATTTTCCCTGCCACAACTCTGGAGAGAGGCTCCCAGTGTTTGGGATGCCCAGACACAGGTGCTCCCAAAAGTATTACATCTTCTATAATACCTTCACATCCTGAAATATCAATAAAAAAGTATTTAATTTTTAGAACAATTAATTAAAAAATATATGCATATAATATCATACTAATTAACAGAGTAAGAGTGTGAACCATGTGCCTCTTTCTTTTATAATTATAATAATTGTTATTTTGAATACAAATTGGTTCTATAGAAGAGATACATATCTGCATAAAAAAGGGTGCATGTAAAAGAATGTTTTAAGTTGTCTCGCCTCAATTGTTTTTCTTTTCTTTTTTTTTGCAATATGTCATTGTGCATATGTACATAATTCCTTGCATTATATACAATTAAAATCAGTGCACAGGTGTCTGTGTGTGTGTGTGTGCGTGTGTGTGTGTGTGAGTGGATAAAAGAAATATCAATTATAATGGTAACTCTATGAGTCTCAAAAGGGGTGAAAATGCTAGTGAAACAAGTTCAGTGCTTTTCCTTTTACATAAACTTGCATCTCTAAATTTTTCATGTTATATCTCCTTTGATTAGTTTTCTTCTACATACAGTGTGAACAATTAGCTGCTTTTGAAAAAGGTGTAAATCCAGAAATCGGCTTCAAATCCTCATCCTCAAAACAACATTATTCACAGTGCATTATCACTTATTATATTTCTTATTATTGATTAAACAAAGTTTAACTGTTCAATGGTCTCATTTACTAGAGCATATTTTGTTCTCCCAGATCTTCGATTTATAATAACTTGGATATCCTGATTACTAAAATATCCTAAACAACCTAAGAGTCTATTTGTTTTATTTTATTTGACCTCAGTTTTTGTCCAATAAAAAGCACTAAAATCTTGATGTTTTTGTCAGAGCTTTTGGACAATAATTAATGTAATTTCCATGACCTTTATCATAAAATAATAAGGACAAAGATGATTATTATAAATATGAAATATCACTACCTTTATCAAAATGGAACAACTTTTCCTAATTGCTGTGCAAAAATATTCAATTGTGAGTAATATTTGTGGGGGTACAAAAAAAAAAAAAAAAAAAACAAACTTAATTTTAGAAAAGACACCATCTTCAATATAATGCAATCATTAACAGACAATTTCTATAGATTTTTAAAATAATGCTAGCATACATAAAAAATCACAAACTAAATCAGAATATTGGTCATTTTTTTCCTGTAGTGAGAGTGGGGAAATAAGTTTCCGTACTCCATGTTAATTATGCTAATACTTCAGCTTCTATGGTTTAACTGTTTCCCTTCATCAGCAAGGCTTTAATCAATGTTTCACCTGTTGTTAACCTTTTTGAATAAATACAAAAATTATCATATATGTAATGATGACATTCATGTGTGTGTGAGAGAGAGAGAGAGAGAGAGAGAGAGAGAGAGAGGAAAAGAATAGTGCGTCTCTCTCTGCATGTGTGTGTGTGTGTGTGTGTGTGAGAGAGAGAGAGAGAGAGAGAGAGAGAGAAGGAAAAGAATAGTGCGTCTCTCTCTGCGTGTGTGTGTGTGTGTGTGAGAGAGAGAGAGAGAGAGAGGAAAAGAATAGTGCGTCTCTCTCTCTGTGTGTGTGTGTGTGAGAGAGAGAGAGAGAGGGTGAGGGAAAGAAATATTTTTCAGTCTCAGTGTGATAATTGCATTTCAGTGTGTGTGTGTCAGAGAGAGAGAGAGAGAGAGAGAGAGAGAGAGAGAGAGAGAGATGTATTACCTTTTCTCTTGGCCAGCTCTGTTAAACAACAGAATATCAAGCGTGCTCCCAGGCTAAACCCAATCAAGGTGACTGGCCTCTTGCCCTAAAACACCAAACCAGTTTTATCAAATGAATAAAGAATAGTTACTCTAAATGAAGGATATTTCATTATTTTAAATTTATTCAGACTGAAAAAAAATAACTAAAAAATACATTACAGCAAGCATACATTGAATATATTATAGTATGCATACAAGACTGTGTGTTTGTGTGCCCATGGGAATAGAATTTCATGTGAAGACCTCTCATTCTTTTGAACTCAAATTTGTACTGATTTACGTTTTTGGCCAGTATGCTGACATCAAATCTGATTCTGCTTAAATTACCTGTTGCCTTGACAACAGGACTTCTGCTAGTTGCCGACCTGCCTCGGCAGCTCTATTAGTACACACGCTCCAAGGATTGTCGATCACCCCTGACACTGTGACCAGTGCTGATGGCCATGCTATTGCAGTGAGGATACCTGGAAATGTGACATGGTGGTTGAGTTTGTGTATTGTGTTAGTTGAGATTGTTTTGTATTGCTACCAGCCACTGTGATCAGTGCTGATGGCCATGCTACCACGGTGAGGATACCTGAAATTTGAAGTGTTGGCTGAGTTTGTGCACTGTGTTAGTTGAGATTGTTTTGTATTGCTACAGCAGATGTCTCTTTAAGACCTCATTCCCATACCTAGATCGTTCTAGCAGGATTGTTCCATCTCCGAGGGGATTCTAACTAAACTGCTTTCAGCTTAAGTGGCTTAGATGTCTGGCACACCCACTGAAGCTACTAAGCAATAGTAAGAGTAAGAGCCGCTTAAAGGGATAATAACTCTTTGTATGAGATCTATATTTCACAATAAAAACATTGTAAGCAACTCATAGAAATAAAATATATTCTGTTTTACCAAATGAAAAAAAAAACAAAAAAAACGGCAGTTATAGCTATTATTCTGATGTCTGAGCTTGTCATCGGACCATGTGACCTCCATAGACGGCTACACTCTGTAATAATCTCTTAAGAGTCGTGTACAATCTTTTTCTGTAACATTGTATGATCTTACCGGATTGGTAACTAATAGGTACAACTGTTCATTGTAAAACTTGCTCTGATTGGTGAACCTGTACTATCTGAACTTACTCAGAATAAATCACTCTCTTTTCTACACTGTTACATGCTGAAAACTCTCTAGTCAGTTCTCTGTGTCATTTTTATAAGACACGTGACCACGACGGTGTAACAAAAGGACACAGCTGTCATATTCAAACAAGAGACAAGAATAAAATTATGGAATTGCCTTTAGTGTACACTGTAACCAAACATGAGAGAAATGGTCCCATACCTTTCGGCACAAGAATTACAAATTTGGTCATGCAGTGGACACTCTCTTTGTACAGAAAGGTGTCAAATCATTTTTCTCTCAGTTTAATGAGATTGTTTTTAGGACATGGTCAATTTGAGCACACTCCATGAGCACAGACCTCTGCCAAGATAAAATGCAATAAGAAACACAATCCTGTTTTGACCAATATATATACATGTTTCTTTATGCGATTGTAGTTCTCCCTCCCTTCCTTGTAAATTTGAACAACTCCATATTGTGTAACATATGATTGTAGCCATAAGATTCACGATTTGTGTTTATGGTAAATTTATAATCACACCAGAAAGTTATACCTCATCGCTTAGCTTGAATATTTGATGAGTAATTTAACTAGTACATATGTTCATCATATAAATATATATATTTTTTCATTCACAAATTGGCAACATAATTACCAATTAGAGAATGGTGATGTACCAATTGTATTGCTGTTATTATGTTATATTATATTGTACAAGGTCATGATAATTTATGTACCAGTACAGAAATGAATTGAATTGAATATAAGCATACCAGCCAGAATGGTAGTCTTCAGCGTTTCTTGTACGGCCATGCTTACTGCAGCACTGACCAAGTAATCAATAGCTTGACCCATCTGCATTAGGTATTGTGATTCCCATCTCAAGCTAAACTGTTCCTGTCCATTATTCAAAGTGAGCCACGGGTGCTTGTAATCTGAAATATTTCATCAAAAGTAGACATACATGTACTAGTACTGCAAAAGATGATTCATAAGGTGAAAGCCAGCAATACCATCAAATGAATGGGTACGTGTACCAATAGTGAGACAGGTGCTTGCCACAAAGTTTACATGAATATGAAAATGCAGAGCAACCACTCTCTACATGCAAATCCTATTCTAAATAAACTAGTGATTTTTTCTGAGAGAGAGAGAGAGAGAGAGAGAGAGAGAGAAAGAGACTTACACAACACTTTGACAAGGTAGACTGCCAGTACTATGATAACATTTGATTTCATACATGTATATGCAGACTGCAAGTTGTATACTAGTTCATACCAACCAGCTTCCATGACAGTGACAGACATGTTTTAATAGTGTGATCCATGCACTTGTACTTGTACAAACACATGAGTGCATGTATGAAGTGGCATTCAGAACAAGTTGATCTGCTTACTAACAGATCAATGGATCAAATATGGCCAATCCACATTAAAGCAGAGCCGACCACACATGCCGTCCCTGCAGGGGTCTAGATATTAAACCTCGAAGCCATGATTTTATGTGTTTAATAGCACTTGCGAAGGCAGGTAGACAATCAGCAGATTAGTGTGTTCTGCTTTAATGTGGGTAGCCATATTTCATCCCTTATGAAAAAGTCCTATAGGATTCTATGGGAAATTTGGCCATTTTCCTATAGAATCCTATAGGATTCATGATGGATACCCTGATCTGTTGGTCCGCAGATCAACTTGTTCTGAATGCTCTCACTGTTACCTGGTTGCTTCTGTGTAATCCAGCCAGAGACGGCTATGGTGATGTGAAGCTGATTGCCATGTGAGAGTGGCTCAAACAGAAATTCTTCCACAGCACCAACTCTCTTCTTCATCTTATAACCTGTAGTAATAATGAAGTTATAGTAAATAAAACTTCTGATAATTGGTTCAATAAGCATGGCTGCTCTTTTTATGTAAAGCATATTATTATAATTAATATTGTGTGTAGATTTAGTTAAAACACAGATGCCCATTGTCATATCAAAATATATCAATTTTATTGATTGGGGCATTTCTCTTAAAAATTAAATTTACACTGTATCAACATGTTTTTGAAAATTTCCCATAGTCATACTAGTAATGTCTACACTGCATGTCTACAAAGTAACTTTTAGCCGTGTTTCCAAGAAATAACAAAATATTACGAAAAAATGACCATGCAAGCACATCAACATATAAAATGGTAATTAATTGTAACGGGAGCATCATTTCACCTGTGAGACCAGCCCCTGCTACGCCAAACAAAGACCCAATGATAGCGACACCAGCTGTTGTCCCCAGGGCTGCTGCACCAGCGCCACCTATAATAACACCTGCTCCGGCAGCCAAGAATGGAGCTGCCAGACCACCTGGAGATAAATGAAATAAAAAGTGAAATATATATCTACAGATATATATTATTATATGATCTAAGAATTAATGATCTTAAAATGAATGTTTTTATACAGAAAGTGAGAATATAGAGCCAATGGTGGAAAGAAATACCTTGGATGGTGAGGACCAACATTAGTACATATTAGCTAGTCACCCTTGGCAAAATGAAAAGTTTGTGGCAATGAGTTTGCAAGAAAAATGTTATTGCTGCTAATATGCAGCCATATTTCAGCACATTTGCTGCAAACTTGCAAGAAGGAATTGCAGTTTGCAGCAATATTGCAGCAAATTTGCAGCAGGCCTGATATTTTGCTAAGGGTGCAGTTGTGGTTTGTGGTACAGTTTGTGGTACAGTTTGTGGCACGTATCTAGATGCTTGAAATGCCAGAGGATCTGTAAGATTTTTTCTTATCACAGGTCCTCTGGACTGGCGAGGTTTTGTGATAAAACAATACATAATTATAATATATCCTGGGGTAGCACTAGCAATTTCTTTTGCTTAGCCAAATCACCACTTTTTTGTCAATTTGTTATCCAAATGGTTATAATTTGACTAAAACAAGTCAAATCAAGCCCTTTTTGTTTAGCCATTTTTAGTCAGTTTTAGCATTTGGCTAAATTGGCTAGTGTTAGCGCTACCCCAGATATCACATATTAAGATAGACTAACAAAAATAAAACATTAACTCAGACCTGCAGAGAACTGAGAGGACCTGCACATTTTTTTGTACTGCAGGTCCTCTGGACCTTCAGTGTCTTCAAGGTTTTTACTATTTCTGTGCAGGGTATCTTGAAAATGAAATAAAATTCACCTTTGTGTGTGTGTGTGTGTGTGTGTGATTATAAATTTCTGTAAGCAAAACTAACAGGCCACCAAAACTGTTGTTTCCTCACCCGTCAATCCTATCAAAGCCCCTCCTCCTACTCCAGCTAAGCCAATTAGGGCGTATCTTTTTATCTTCCTCTTAGTGGCATTTTTTTGCTTCTCTTTCACTTCATCTCTAGAAAAGTTAAGTTGTTTTTTTTCTTTTTTTATAAAAAATTTAATGCAAAAATGCTACTGTAAAAAAAACTGAAAATTTTCACAAAATACTTTTCAAAATAAAATATCAGGTGAAATTTTAAACAACTTAAGGATGACTGTATTTTTTCTCAAAAAGCTACACGTGAGGTACATTTGTGACTGATAACATCTTTGCGCCCAACAAGTAATTAATTGACAAATTGCCCTAATCTACTACTGCTAGGTGATTTATATTTACTATTTCATTTTCTTACCTTTCAACCTTTTCATTTTCCTTAGCAAAATCATGGAACCTCCAGAAAAGCACAATACTTACTGTAACTTGACATAATATATAATGTGGTTTATTCAGGAATTTTACTTACTCAGACATCTTGTGAACTGCTTTCAGCTCTTCTACCACTGCATCTTCTAGTTTCTCCACGGCCTCAGACTTGATCTTCAGAAGCCAGGCTATATGGTGGATCAGAACCCGCATCCTTGCATCATAATATCCTAATGTCAGACAATTTTGTAATTATCAGAAATATCATGGTAATTAGGTGAAAACGAAGCCATATAATATTCAATAAAATTGTTCAACTTAGTCCTTTTTAAGTTCACTTAAAATAGTTGTGGAAATTGTCTGATTGTAGTAACATGATTTTACTTCTCTTTTTACTTCTCTTTTTTTTTCAGTTTCTTTAAGATGCCTCAAGGAGAGCCACTGTATGATAATCATATTTATTTTCATATGCGACAAAAAGGAAATTCAATTCATACTTCTTCAAAAGTGAATGACATTATGAACTAATATAAACCATTCTAAGATTGATATTCATAATTATTTAATTCACAATAAAAAATATATAAGTAAGTGAAATAAATAAATTATTAATTAAATAATCAAATGAAAAAACTTAAAAATAATAAAAAACAATATCAGTGAACTTGTCATCTTATATAAAATAAATAAATAAATAAATAAATAAATAAATAAATAAATAAATTATTATCAATAATTATATAATTAACATCAACCAATTTAAAAAAGGAAACACATAAACTAAACAAATTTTATAACATATTTTATCTCACAATTCACTCCTGAATCTATCAATTCAACTAACTAATAATATAAAACTGAAAACTTCATAACGGGCAAAGTAAAATCATTCATAAAAAGAATCTCTATATCATTCAACAATCCATAAAAGCAACTTGGTGTTCTCTATTCCAAATAATAAAAATAATAAAACAAAAATAATAACTATTCCTTTAAAGATCAAAGCGATAATGCACAACTGAGATTGAGCACATGGTGACATTTTTATAAAAATAAATTTAAAAAATTAATATTAAGACCATACAAACTGCACAGCAACACCACCGAACATAACAGTAACTGGGGTGTTTTTATTTTTTATTAATTATGAAACTTTGAGATAAAAACAAATCAACTGAAAAGACAAGTTATGGAAGCATATAGCTGCCATATCATTCATCATTTTTAGTTCATATTGAAATTTTCAGTTGGTCTTCTCAAAATTTCAAAATAAAAGCAAAGTATTTCTGTATATCATGAAATGTTGAGTTGCTTACTAGTCAAAATTTCAAAATAAAATTTAAAAACTAAGTGGCAGTAATATGCTTCCATAGTAAGTACAGTAGGCAAAAATAAAATTATTAAGGATGGGATCAAAACGTGTAAGTAGCAAATATATAAATAGATTATTTTACCTCTGTTCTGCATGACTAAATGAACAATAATGAAGAAAAAAAAAAGATTATTGTTCTATCATATCATTATATTGAGAAGGGATGACAACTCTTCATCTTGGTGGGAAAAGTGCCATGAAACAGACTTTCCAGGGATAAACGACAATTTCCCATACTTTCCAATGGTTAATGAATCCATTCCCACATTCAAAGTTAGTGGATTTTCTTTAAATTGTGTTTTTTGTAATAATTTCCTGTGAGATTATTTTGGAGGTTTACCTATCTATGAAGGTCCACATGGTCTGATGGCAAGTACAGATTTCAGAATAACTGAAGGATAGCAGTTGTTATGGTGGACAAAATGGAATTACTGTATTTCTCTGTGTTGCTTACAACTTTTTTTTGGGTGGAATTTTGAATCTCATATCTAGAGCTGTTATCCCTTTAATATACTGGTATATCTCATAGCGCAACAAGATATCAAGTTGAACATTCATATCGTCAAGTATTCATTAATATTCTACTAGGATATCAGAGTCACAATTCGATTCAGTAATTCAACCAAAAAAAAAAAAAAAATTCAATAATAAGTTTATTTCCCTTTTGGGTGTCACAATGGTCTCTTAAGACTATTTAATAGCATGTAATACATGCTGGCTGAAATCTATAAAAACTGAGAAATTCAAATTAAATCCTAAAAAATGTAGCTGATCCCCACCCCTCCCCACAACAATCAAATTGCTTACTGGAAATCTGGCACAAACAAGAAAAGTTTTACCCATGCTAATATCATTTACTGGTGCCTATGCCACATATTTAGAAATTTGGGGGGGAAATAGTAAAAGCAGATATTAAAATAAGCAAACCCACAAAACCAAGCAATGTTTCCATTCCTGTCCCTTTACATTTTATATGAGAACAATTAAGAACTGAACATTTTCATATTTCAAATTTTATATGAGTACAGTTAACAACTGAACATTTTCATATTTCATAAAATATTTTCTATCCTTGTGCCCCCCTTTCACCCTGCCTTTAGCAAAACCATAGGTCTACCAGGCAGTGCAAAGTACTTATGTCCTCATGATTGACAAATTTATGTGACCAATCGCCATCGGAGGTGTGTCACAAATGTCTTCAAGATAACAATGACACATCCATGTGACCCTTATAACTAATTATCAGGCACATGCCACTAATTTATGAACTACCCATATGTCCTCTGCATTTGCACATAAATCTGGGGACTCTTGCCTTGTGGACAGCCGATGAAAGATGGAGATAAAATTTGTTGCCTTGTACAATGATGTAACATATGTAAAATCTTTCAGAACCAATTCCCCTAAACTGGCACTGTTAAACAATCAAAGAACAAATGTCCCAGAGAGAGAGAGAGAGAGAGAGAGAGAGAGAGAGAGAGAGAGAGAGAGAGAGAATGAGATATCAGAAAATTTAAAGCAATTGAGTGGTGTTTGTGAAAAACATGCATCTATTTCTCACCTCCATTCTCTCTCTTTATTAAAAAAATAAGAATATATCCACTTTGAGATCACAAAGTGTTTCATTTACTGTACTTTAAAGATATTTCATATTTAATAACTGCAGGTCAGCTAACTGCGCTTTCCTGTGATGCTGCAAGGATAAATAATTTAAAAGACCTGAATTCTTGCTAATTTAAAATGTTAATGTAAACCATATTATACCAGTATACAGGCACTGTGCTGATGTTAATTTGCAACATGACCGAAGCATTATCTATACATGTGCAGGAGCACCTTACATTTCTTTTGGGCCATAGCCAGCATAACACGAAGAACTGCAGTAGTAAATTACATGCAATATACTGATTTATTTTCTACACACATGCAGGGCACCTTACCTTCCTTTAATGCCAGAGCCAGCATATCTTTAGGTATAAGTAATGGATCACCCTGAATGACCTCCTCCTCTAGCAGTGTTTTCACAAAAGGGTCCGCCTCTTCAAGCAGCTCGCTTCCCTCCATCAGCGCAAACATAGAGGTTGAAACCTTGGTGGAGAACATGCTGAATTCTACAGCCTGTGTCATTCTTATGATTTATCATAATGATTTACTGACAGTAATTTTAAGAATTAAAACATGATGTAAGACGCAATAAGGTCTTCATGAAGAGTACTGTAAAAGGATCAAAACACGGTATTTGAAATGTCTCTGACGGGACATTTTAGAGACAATTTTAAAAATTACAGTTGGTAAACGATCCACATGGTTACTTTTAAATACATTTTTATTTAGCTGGACCATAAAGGATTATGTAAAACAAGCAGCTAATTTGTATTGAAATTAATGTGGGAATGACAATCACTTAAAGGTCTGTCTCTGACGGGACATTTTTGACCCCTGTATTTTTTTACTAAAACTCCAATGCAAAATTCTCTTTGAAATTTCATTTAANATTAATTTATTATTATCATCATCATTATCATAATCATGAATCATAAATATTAATTACATGTACAATATCATCACTTTCTCCCAATTATTATATGTAATTATATTATTCATTCATCTATTAAGGTAGATATGCATAAAATGTTAATTAAATTCCATATTCAGTCTAACATCACACTCTGTCTAATAAAATAATCAATTAAATTTAGATTAACCTAAATACCCGAGACACTGCACATTTCCATTTTTTAACTAAAAACTTTGGTATAATTTAAAATGCACCTGTTTTGACTGCTTCAGTCTTTCTATTACAGACTGCAGGAACTGCATCCTAAACTTTCTGAGGAGTAAAAAAAATACATCGGTTTAAAAAAACAACACTGGCAGATTCATATCCTTTTTATATCAGTATAAAGCTCTACACACAAGCTTGTTTTATATATTTCCCTACCTCTAGACTAACTGGCAATGAAAAAGTGAGTATTTTCTTCAACAAGTTGGAAAAAATTTACTGCTAATTCAGAATAATTTTTGTTTTTGAGTCAAATTTAAGATTCAAACATTTGTGACAAAAAAAAATTAGACACATGCCAACAATATTCAACTTTTCTTAAAACATTAGCATACCAGGTTTCTGCTGTGTTCAAAGTAAACTGACACAATGCTACACAAGAAAGCACTACTTCTGGTAGCTAAAAAGCTGCATCACAGAGCAATGAGCACTTATTCTAACAAACTACAGTATTTATTTTAAATCATCTATTTCTTCTCAATTAAATTAAGGTTTTTACTTGTCAAAATCTGTCTCAAACATCACTTTCAATGAGACAGCACACAGGCCTGAGTAGGAGAAGAGCCCTGCACTACTGAGGATTTTCTCTAGTTGTATGGGCTCTCCGTCACTATGTGCTACCATAGCTGCTGCAGCCAATGTTGCTGGGTTTTCTACCTCTGGTTCTCCTATGGTATAAAAAAAAAAATAGTAAAATAAAAAAAAATAAATAAATAAAGATATCTGTATTACACCAGTCAAAGCAATTGAAAATAGTATAAAAGAGCTACTACTACTTTTACGATACCACCACCCCTCCTTCTGCTTTTAACACGGTCAGTGAACAGGATTAATTCTGAGGGAAACATGGGGGCTTATGACAGGGAATAAAGGGTGGGTAACAGATGAATGTAAATAAAACATAATTCCTTTTGTGTTAAACCTAGGACTGCATACTGAGTCCTAGGTTTAACTTGAAGTACGAGGATGATGGCTCAATTCTTAGATCCTCTTTCAAATTAGTAAAATGTATTAATTAAGGAAGTGCACTACCGGTACTTGGTACACTGAGCTTCTATCAGGTTTAATCCCTTTCTTACAATTTCAAATAGAACCCTGTAGGAAAATGGCCTCAAATACTGAAGAAAGTAATCTTATAGGATGTCCGATACTTGTAAACTGTGCATACTGTACTGGTATCACGTATTTTGCTCTCATACATGTACATTTGTACAGATAAAAATGTGTTTGATTCCTAGCCTAGGTAGATCTACATGTAGGAAGGAGCTCAGAAAGAATGCTCCAGACTGTTATCTGTTTGTTACCTTTTGTTACCTAAAGTAACTCACTTGTAAACAGATAATTATAGGGTATTAGAGCTGACACCTCTGGGGATGACACCCCATGCTGCAATGAGTAACCAAACTATTGTCCGATGTCCAGTGAGTAAATAAGCATTGTGTTCGTGACAAAATCCATTCATCAAAGAGAGGTGGTGCCATAAAAAATAACCAGTTCAGTTGTCAAAAGTTGTTACTTTTGGTAACATCTCATTATTTCAGAGCTCAGCTGTTAGGCTAAAGGGATCTGGGGAACTTGACACATATAGTAAAGCTACTTTTTATACTCGCCCAAAAGTGCATGGAAAGAAGAGCCTAGCTCATATGTCCCAGTAATACTCAAATTTGACCTTAGGTTTAGTCATCACTATTATTACTATTGTGTATCATGCTGCCATTGTTATTCTAATAACCCTGATGTTTGGGTGCCATCCACTCACTGTAAGCAACTGACTTGGCGAGTGGATCAAACCTAACACACCGTGTGATAATAAAATGCTTAATTCACATGTATTCTATGTAATTGTGCTGCTATCTATCTATCTATCTATCTATCTATCTTTATTTATTTATTTATTTTTTTTTTTTATTTGATGTAGTATGACGTATTCAATCTCCTATTCAGTCCATCATCTGATAATTGTACATTATATGTGAAGGTGTTTATCAATAAAGAAGTCGGTATTTTTTATTTCGTTTTTTCGATAAATACACCCTACGTTTAAAAGAGTATGTTGAAATGTGGCGCAGTTCTATTTATTTACACTGCACTGCCACCAGTGAACGGACACCTGTTAAATATCTCACAACATATTTATACTCTATCCGTACACTGTACACTGACGAACTGCTTACAATTAAGCAAGTGGCATGGTCACATGGCTTCATTAGAGGACTGCAGAAGGATATTAATAACTTTAACACTTAAGTCTACGCACCATCCTTTGACGCAGAGTTTTCACCAACTTCGTTCTCGTCGTCCATAAATTTTCCGTCTGCTTGATCTTCGTCTGCCATTTCGACTGATGTTTACTTCCTGTTTATTACTGGGCATGCGCACTTCTGCTGTCACATCTAACACAGTTGGATGAGCTATGTTTTTTTTTTTTCATATAATATTTCAAAATGTCTAATTACTCACTTAAAAAAGTAAATTGTTGTGTTGAAAACTACAAGGACTAGTCTTGAAAAAGGAGGTTATTTTGTTTTCTGAGCTATTCATTATGCATGGCAGTGATTTCTTGTGCAATGATAGATGCATATTTGCATGTAGGCCTACAAGAGTGGTTTGTCTAGTCCACTGTGTATGCTTTATATAATTTATAATTGCTCAGATACATTCTGGAAAAAAATTAAAAAATGCCTATGAACAAAATAATAAATAAATAAATAAATAAATAAATAAATAAAAATAAAAATAACAATTACTAGATTTATCTGTTATCACACAAAATTCAAAAAGGGACATATTCATTAAATTACTCCCTTATTTTCGATCGTAGCACCATCTCACATTCTCCAATGGATCTAGTTTCTTTTTATTAAATAAGAAAATCTGCAACTTGTCAGTAAGCGAGTATGGTGTCTAACGTCTAAGAAAATGTCTAGAATGTTTATTTCAAATAAATCAATAAATCGAGGAAGCTTCGAGCTACTTTCATGGTGTAGCCAGGTTTTATTTTTTTATTTTATTTTATTTTTTTTTTTTGGAAAAAAAAACAAACTTTGTTACGTCTTATGGTGCAGATCATTATTTTTAGTTGTTTGACTTTTTTCCAATATTTTAGCCATTAATGAATTCCTCAGTTCAGTTACATCAATTATAAGCAAGACGATATACATGTAGGTCTAGTGATAGGGCGCAGTCAAATATTTTACGCGAAAAACGGCAAACTGCACCCTCAAGAAAAATAATTTTCAAAGCCTTCGTTAAGCTTTACCAAGCACTGTGAAAAAAACTGAATTAGAGGACAAAATTTGTCAGTGATGTACGCATGCATCTCGTAATACCCTTTTAACGCAGTCTAAATTTATTTATTTACGACCCCCCTTCGATTTCTGAAAAAAATTACACCAATGGTCCCCTCATGAAATTAAAATTTCGACTAGTTGAATCATAATTTTAACCTTACCAAATGGCACCGTTCGCCCTCTTAATATACCAAAATATTCCGGGACACTTCAGCGGGCTCCGAGCCCCACGCCAAAGGGGGGAGGGGTCGGCTTCGCATCCGCGGACCCCCCTTTAAATAATTCTGGATCCGCCCCTGAGTATCAATAACGTGTGATTGATATCCAAAAGGTTTGTTAGATTTAAAACTTACATAATTAAAATAGGCTAAAACCTTCGGTACTGAATAATGGAATTCTCAAACTAGCAATGCATCAATTAAAAAAATCCGTTTTAAACAAAGAGCCAGATTTATCACTTTCTGTCACCAAAAATTCAGAAAATTAAAATTCGTGAAAATATTTTTATTTATTTACATTTTTATTATTCTTATTCTTCTTTTTATTATTTACATCTTTTTACCAAAAGTAGACTCTATAACCTAATAATATTCATGTGTCGACTTAATATAGTTTAACGTAATAAGACCGTACCCATTGTATACCTAAAACTCCAGGTAAGGTCCTACACTTCTGAAATTAAATACTGCGGCACAAAAGGATGAATAAAGCCTTCCTTAGTTAATATACGTATACAGGCTCAGATTAAATTATTGGATTCTACAGACTGGGTGAGGTAGCGTAAAGTTCTTCGGTACTTTGTGGTAGTTAACACTAAGATTGCTGCACCACTTTCTCTAAACCATATATCACAGTGCCGGATTTTCTTTTTTTTTTTTTTGTTTTTTTTTTTTTTTTTTTTTTTGGGGGGGGGGGGTGTCCCCCTTCGATTTCTTAAAAAAATCACACTTGAAATTAGAACTTTGACTAGCTGAATCATTGTTCCAAACCGTACCAAAAGGCACCGTTCACCCTCTAAAATGCTTAAAATTTCGCTGAAGGGACCCGAACCCCACCTTCAAATAATCCTGGATCTGTCCCTGTAACACTTCATATATCATTAGTAAAAACATCCCACGTGCTTACTTTGTAGCAGCCTGCAGCACACTCAACGTGACTGCAGGCGACCCAGAGCAGGTTTCGTAATGTGTCATCCCGGTGACTTCCGGGGACATCGTGTCCCCGCGCCATCATCTGTGACCACTTACACTGGTAGATTTCTTTATTGATATACACCTTTACAAATAAGGTACAGTCAAAACATGGACACATACATTTGACTACAATATTTATATAGATACAGTTTCTGATTGCTCCCTAAACGTTTTGATGGCAGGCAGAGTGATCAATGTCAAGGTCACGAGAGGTTTGCTGAAGACTGTGTAGAGAGGAAACTGTTGGTCGTGGTGACCTGCAGAACAGCACCCTTTCACTCCCATATTTGGACTGCACCGCTTTCTCTAAACCATATAACACAGTGCCGGATTCGGGGGAGGGGGAGGGGGGTCAGGGCCACCATGACCAACAGTTTCCTCTATACACGGTCTTCAGCCTGGTGATTCTGAAGATAATACAAACGCTGGCGTCTGCAGGCATAACTGAACTTCCCTGTTTTTGTAGAAAAAAATAAATAATAGGGGCTATCAATTGATCTGCAAAAAGACCAATATAACAAGCACATGTAAATGGGAAAAATATGTTCGATATAAGGCTAATTATCTAAAAGTTGTTTAGTCAGACGTGCGTAATACCTTTCCGTTAGCAAAGAAGCAAAATGTTTAGTCTTCATCTTCATCATGGCGCAGGTTTCTCGGTTTATTTCAAATCCTTTCGTCCACTTGTTAGGTGAAACCTTAATAGCGTCTTGCGTTTTGCTTTTACAAAAAACTGCTACACGACCCTGAATTAATTCATAGTATCGAACCTCATCATAGAAATCTCTACTTTGGTTATCCAGTAAAGCTTTTAGCTTTGCATGAAAATAGTCATATAACATGTAATCCAAGTTACTCCGCTTTTTTACCAGTTCGACGCTCGCCGCATTGTAATGGTGATAAGGTTTTTTATGTACATTAAGTTTCAAGTACAGGATGCTTTTTAGATCCCAACAGAGACGGCGACGCAATAATACCATTCCAGCATTGAAATATTCCGTCGTGATCACCAAGTCGAATTCTTTGTCAATTCGTTTTATATATTCAAAGGCGTCACCGGTGCGGTTGTAGTCGGAGTTGTAAAAGCCAAGATCATACATCATTCTATTTGGAATATAACGTATATTTAACTTCTTTTGCATGAGAAGGATTCTCTTTTGATGCTGCGGATGACTAAGATCAAGCAAAAATGCATACATAGGGTCCCGGTATTTTGTGTATTTGAATTTGTCAGCAAAGCCGAAATAATGAAAACTGGATCTAAAACGGAAGAAAGGTTCTCGGAGTATGGTAAATCGAAATGTATCTTTATGCATATTGTCTTCTATGAATGTCGAATCGTAAATCCAGTGCCGGGCAAAAATATCGTATTTCTCCGATTCTGACACTTTGCCAATAAAAGTAAAATTTTTAAGCATAACGAAGTCCTCTTTGTTTTTACATGCTGGCGTCCATGTTTTAAGACCCTTTATTGGAAGCATTACAGTCAGATGCGAGGAGTAAGCATATCTGTGCAAAATGTTGGCAATCGTGGTTGATGCTGTTTTATGTGTTTTCAGAAACATGACGTGGTTATTGGCTACACAAATTTGTGAATCAGTTGGCTTCATGGAGCTTGCGTTGCCTATATATCCGCCCACATGTTCATAAATAAAAGATGGATATTTCCCTCTTGATTTCTTTTGAGTGGTGATATTTTCGTTGAAATGCATAGATTGGTGTCCGTTTGTCCAAACACTCTTTGTTTTTCTGGCTGAACTGTTTGCATATTCTCTAATTTGAGAGTGATCTGCCCATTTTGTCTTTGTTCTCCTATGAACGATGAGATAGTTTGGATTTGCGGTGTTTTCATTCAAATCCGTTTTCAGCACAGCTTGTAATATTCCATTCGAAGATTTTTTTCCGCGTGGTGAAAAAACGCTCTTTGTACTGAACACATCGCTTAGGCAGCAGTAAAACACGATCATTGCCATCGATAAAATGCACGTGTAAAATACATATTTCTTTCTTGTATGAAACCGAGGCATCGATAGGCAATTTAATGCCTTCACGGGCTTATGCATCTTGTCGAACCGAAATGATACTCACTCCAGTTTCTCATTGATGTAATTCATTTACCTTACACCCCATCGTCGACCTAACATCAATAACTCATGTAAATTGCAAATTGGTTTATGCAGTGGACAATCGGTTGGACTGTTTGTCTTGACTAAGGGATCTCACAATTTAGAACTGTGTAGGTGGTGGTATCGCCCAGTTCGTCTCCATTGCGATGTCATGCGGTGAACGAAGTCCAAAATCTCTAGCCTACCTCGTGACAAAGGTGCCGTGGGCCATTGTTATACAAAGGCTTTTGGTGATATATATATATATATATATATATATAACATTGGTCAAAAAGGTTGTCCCACTCCCGTTTCCATGTACTTTTATTAACAAATGATCACCTCACAGCTGTAAATTTTTAAAAATGGCGCTTTTTATTACAGATACCGTATCTAACATGATTAATGGTTTAAAAAAATACAAAATAGTGGGGAAAATATACAAATTTTATAACATTTAGTAAAATTTATAAGAGGTACCCCCTCAAATCCACTGTTTCACTGTGACTTCTACAGATGTAAAGAAATGTATATTAAATTGAAAAGATGCCATCAAATGTCACCAAATTCACACACAATTAGCATTAGGG